TCTCTGTTAACTGTTTGTGAAGAGCAGTCAAGGGTGATTCCAGTTCTTCTTGGTGGTTTTTTATCATTGGCCCATTGGTGGAGAAGGAGGTAGTGGCTGTCGCTCAGTAAGTGAAGTTGCAGAAGGTGTGGGTGTAGTTGTGTCTTATGACATCTATTCTGCAGAATGTTCCACGTACCTGGAAAAGAATGTATATTGTGTGGTTTGCTGGAATGTTCTGTATACATCAATGTGGTCTAGTTGGTTGATTGAGTTTTTAGATCTTCTGTATAAGTTTTTTTCTAGTTCTGTCCTTCATCAAAAGTGTCATATGAAAGTCTCCTACTATTATTGTGGGGTTGCCTGTTTCTCTCTTCAATTTTGCTCAAGTTTGGTTTATTTTCTTTGGGGCTCTTCACTGGGTGTGTAGATATTTATTACGATTATGCCCTCTTGTTTGATTGACCTTTTAATCATCATCATTAATTATATAATGTCCTTCCTTGTCTCTTACGGTGGTGTTTTTCTTAAAGTCTATTTTACCAAAAATTGATATTGCTACTCTTGTTCTTTTTTGGTTGCCATTTCCTTGATATGTGCTTTTCCAACCTTTGATTTTTAGCTTATTTTTGTCTTTGTATCTAAGGTGTGTCTCTTGTAGACAGCATACTGATGGGTCATGTTTTCTTATCAATTCTGTTACTCTCTGTGTCTTTTTTCTTTTTTTTATTGTGATTTGGGTGAAAATTTATAGAGAAAATTCACTTTCCATACAGCAGTTCACATATACTTTGTCTCAGGACATTGACTACAATTTACAACAATGTAACAGCTCCCCTCCCACTTCCTCCCTGATAGCTATCTCTTCCCTGTGTCCATCCCACTATGCACTCTTGCCCCCTTAGCTGTCTCCCTACGCATAAACAGCCCTTCTTTCTCCTATGATTGTTCTCTCTGAGTGTATCTACCTCAGGTAAATGTTCAGCTCATATGTCTGTTTTTTGTTTGGCTGGAAGCCACAGGTGTGGGTTCAATTCCAGACCTGAAGGGTAGCGAGAGGCCATAGTCTCAGTGGTTGTACCAGGCTCCATCAGAGCAGCAAAGTTGGCCCACCCCCTCTTTTTTTCCAAATGATTTTGAGTTTTGTTCCACATTGTTCTCCCTCTCTATCCAGGATATCCTACATAGATCCCCCTCCAAGTGGTTGACAGTGGTATGTGGACACCATCTAGTTCTTCTGGTTTCATAATCATATAGGCTGTGGATCACATTATGTACCAGTATCTAGGACTAATTGTTTCCATGAATTTTTGTTTTCTTTATTCTTCTTTGCTCTGGATGAGGAGAGACCCATCATAGCATCTATATAACCACTCGTAAGCTTTTAAGATCCCAGTTGCTACTCATCAAAGTAGGAGATGGAACAATATTTTGTGTAATACGTTATGCCAATTAAGCTTGACGTCCCCTGGGACTATGGTCCTGGGTCCACAGGTTCAACTACGCAGTCCTTCTGGGTAGCTGGCTGTGAGCAAGAAGTGACTACAACCTTGCCCCTTGTCAGCTCTACTATACACCTGGGAATTCAGATCATACAAATGCATTTATAGGACAATTGTCTGCCAAACACTATACATGGTCTTGGGTACACTCCCCGCTTCATAGACTTACCTACTAGTTCAACCTGTCCACCCATCTATCCACCTGATTACCCATATTTGCCTTCACTGACAACGTAGTACTGTGTGTGCAAAAGGGTTCATCTTTGTTGTCTGTAGCTCCCACATACCTCTCTCTGTCTTCCTCTTCTTCAATACCACCATGTCGTTCACTTACATTTGGTATATTACCCTTCCTTTCACCCAATTCAATACTTATCTCTACCTATCTAACAGTGTTCCCTCCCCTCCCATTCCCACCCCTGGTAGCCAACAAATAAAGTTTCCATCTGTAGATAAACCTTTCCTTGACTTTCACAATAGCAGACTAATACAATATTTGTCCTTTTGTGACTGACTTATTTCACTCAGCATAATGAAATTGCATCCACATTATGCAGTGTTTTGCAGATTCTAGGTTATTCTTTAGGGTTGCATAATATTCCATTGTGTGTATATACCACAGATTGGTTATCCATTCTTCAGTTGATGGCCACCTAGGTTGTTTCCATCTTTTAGCTATTGTAAATAGTGCTGTGATGAACATGGGTGTTCGTATGTCTGTTCTTGTCATGGCTCTCACTTCTTTAGGATATATACCTAATAATGGAATGGTGGGGTCAAATGGTATTTCTAATTCCAACTTTTTAAGGAATCTCCATACTGATTTCCACAGTGGTTGTACCATTTTACAGTCCCACTAGCAGTGTAGGAGAGTCCTAATCTCTCCACCTCCTCACTAGCATTTGTTATTTTCTGTCTTGTTGAACTTTGCTATACTAGCACTGGAGCAAGATGATATCTCATTGTTGTTTCGATTTGCATCTCTATAATAGCTAATGATCATGAGTATTTCTTCATATGTTTGTTGGCCGCTTGAATATCCTCCTTGGTGAAGTGTCTATTCATGTCTTCTGCCCATTTT